AAACCTTTAAACATTGATGTAGAATTATATATCGTATTTGTTAATATCTTTAATGATGATGCAGATCTAATTGCTGGTCCAATTCCGCAATAAACATTATTTTGTGAAAAATTACAGCCTTCGAAGTATTGATCACCGAAATTCGAGATATAAAAATTGCTCACATTTGCTCACATTTTGGCACTTTTTTTGTACGTTTGTCAAAAAATTGTGAGGAAGATCTCACAAAAATAGTCAAAATGTGAGCAAATTTTGAGAAGTGCTCACATTTTGACATACGATTATTTTCATACGTTTTTTTGATGAATTCTAATAAAACTTCATTACCACTTTCAGAACGAAGCGTAACTTTTCAGCACGTAACGCTCTATCATGTGTAGTGACATATTATTCAAAAAAACTCAGATTGCTTATCTTATAATAACAATTTCATTAGAAAAAATGCACGATTTCACGCTAAAACTTTGAAGCAATTCTTAAATTCGGATAAAAAATCGATATGTATTACACTTTAAACTTCAAAAAATGGTTCAAAATTTAGACTTAGTTTATCTTAACAATATAGCAGATTTTAAGCCGAACAAGTAGGAGTAATAGAAATAGCTCTTGAAAATAATTACAATTAGTAATATGTAAGTCAAAGTTCGAGTATTCTAATAAATAAACGTTCCGGATTTTCTTTACTACAAGAATCAATACTTAATATATAGAAGCAACAGTAAAAACTTATTAGAGATTCAAAAAGAAAGTTGACTAAAGAGAATCTTTTTATATAAGTAATTTTATTTTTTTGAAATACGAGATCGAATAAACATGTATTTTATTTTATTACTATAATAATACGTTTTTACATAGTAAGAAAGTTTAGAGACTGAAATGAAATTAAAAATTGAGAAAAAAATAAAGCTTTTCTATAAAAATTCATATTAGTATATAGTATAATGATATTACAATTTATTGATCAAATAAAAAGAATATTTGTTGAATAATTTCTGTTCAAATTAAAAGTTCTTCAACTTACGGTAAATCTATCTGCCTTAAAAAGTATTACGATATTATGCAAAGTCAATTTTCTCCAAAAAAATATTTGAAGATGATACTTTAAGTATACCAAAAATACAAGAATTTTGAGAGAACTCAATGAATTTTTGTGAAGGTGGAGTTAAATTGAGAAGATTTTTGGTCAGAGAAAAACAAAAATTACTATCTGATAAAATGGTATTAAAATGAAAAAAGTTTAAACAAAGGAAATGAAGAATTTATATTATATTAGAATTTAAAGAGTAAATATAAAAGATTGAAAGAAAGAATAATAATAGGATTCTTGAATGCAACATTTGGAATGATGTTTCCAGTTGTAGATGTGTTAAGCAAAGAGAGATAATGATAGTTTCTTGAGTTTTGAGTTAAGCTTGTTGTAGATGAGAGAGAAATTTTGACGAGACTGAGGAACTTCATTTGGAATGATGTTTCCAGTTGTAGATGTGTTAAGCAAAGAGAGATAATGATAGTTTCTTGAGTTTTTGCAATTAACCATCCTCAATGACTATTGTTTTAATATAATTTTTAAATTTTTTAAAACTGACATTTTAGTTGTATATTTTTTCTAACAAAGGTACATTCACTAGGCGATAACAGTAAAATGGGATGAAAATATGATAAATAGCATCCCTATATGGTGCCAAACAATATTTATACGGGCCAAAAAAAATTGGCTAGAGATTTGGCGAGTTATAAAACTTAGAAAATTGAGAGGGATTTTTATTTTTGAATTTTTTTTGGAAAGTTAAAATTGCGATTAAAAATCGATTTCCAGGAGAACTAAGCATCTCATCATATATTTAAATCGATAAAAATATTAAATAATAGTTGAATAGTATAAGAACGTGAAATTATGGCTGAATCTACAGAAAAAATGAACATATTTGACATTTTTGAAAATTCATACGTTAGATGGTGACAGACTCATAAACTATACTTTAGCTAAGATTGATATATGGTTTCAACAACACATGGTTAAAATTGTAAAAATATTTTAGATTTCAAAAAGATATATATGGTAATATAATGGAACAAAGTCAACAAATAGCATGTTAAATATGTTATAATTAACTTTTTATTAGATCCAATAGTAGATATCGAATGGTTTCCAGCTTTATGGTTAAATATTTTCTTTTCGAGCTTCTCTTTAACTGTTGTATTAAGGTTGTAAATTTTTGATGCTAGAAACTATGGAATCTTCTTTGCTGCTGCATTTTTCTTGAGAGTTCTTGCAATTTCGAATAGATCTGCGCATTGTATGAAATTGAGGCTTTAAAATATCTTGAAAACAGAATAGGACTGCTTTTCCAAAGGAATGCTTACTTGTAAATCAGAGAGTTTCAAAATTGAGAGCAAGATTATCATCATAACTTTCGATTTTGCTGCGAAAAAGGAAGACAAGTAATTAACAAATCATTTACTGTTGTTCATTAAAAGAAGAAAACTTTGATAACAACTAATGATGATAAAATCAAGCTATCTTTTTATATTTTAAATTGATAAGACATTCAAAATATTTGAATGGTTTAAAATATTTTCTTTTAATTTCTATAAGATATTATCATGATTATATAATAAAATTTAAATTTTTATTCAAAAAGGCAATATTTCAAACTTTTAATTTCAAAAATCTTAATTCTGCAATAAGTGTATTTAATTGTAGCAAATTTAATGATCCTTCGTCATGCTTAGCAATTTGGAACTCATAAATTAATGATTTCTTCAAGTAAAATTCTGCATTATTTCAAAAGTCAATAATTCTCTAGTAACTTTTCTTCAAACTCTAACCATTATATTATATGTATAATGGAGAATAATTGCAAAGAAAGATAGCCGAATTTACTGGTAGTTCTTGTGATGCGAAATAATTGCAAATTAACACATAGTTTTAACAGCATCAATCTCTTTTTGCTCTCATTTAAATGCATTCGCACACTTTAATTTTGAAATATAAGAGTTTTGGAAATTATCAAATTTATCTGCTCAAATACTATAGATCTTCATAAGTGTTAATAGAATCACCAGCCTTACATATAGTGTTTAATATAATGATGCACATCATACTGGGATTTATTCCTTATTCATCTAGTTATTATAAGATTTACAACCCCATGAAAATTTAAAATTTTGTCAAAAATAGTGAATGTACCTTTTTTCTAACACAACTATCAATAAATTGTAATATCATTATACTATATATTAATATGAATTTTTATAGAAAAGCTTTATTTTTTTCTCAATTTTTAATTTCATTTCAGTCTCTAAACTTTCTTACTATGTAAAAACGTATTATTATAGTAATAAAAAAAATACATGTTTATTCGATCTCGTATTTCAAAAAAATAAAATTTATATAAAAAGATTCTCTTTAGTCAACTTTCTTTTTGAATCTCTAATAAGTTTTTACTGTTGCTTCTATATATTAAGTATTGATTCTTGTAGTAAAGAAAATCCGGAACGTTTATTTATTAGAATACTCGAACTTTGACTTACATATTACTAATTGTAATTATTTTCAAGAGCTATTTCTATTACTCCTACTTGTTCGGCTTAAAATCTGCTATATTGTTAAGATAAACTAAGTCTAAATTTTGAACCATTTTTTGAAGTTTAAAGTGTAATACATATCGATTTTTATCCGAATTTAAGAATTGCTTCAAAGTTTTAGCGTGAAATCGTGCATTTTTTCTAATGAAATTGTTATTATAAGATAAGCAATCTGAGTTTTTTTGAATAATATGTCACTACACATGATAGAGCGTTACGTGCTGAAAAGTTACGCTTCGTTCTGAAAGTGGTAATGAAGTTTTATTAGAATTCATCAAAAAAACGTATGAAAATAATCGTATGTCAAAATGTGAGCACTTCTCAAAATTTGCTCACATTTTGACTATTTTTGTGAGATCTTCCTCACAATTTTTTGACAAACGTACAAAAAAGTGCCAAAATGTGAGCAAATGTGAGCAATTTTTATATCTCCGAAATTCATGTAAACTACATACGATACATCTGGTGTTGGATAATATGTTCCGAAAAAGTTATTAAGATTGTAAAATGAACCTTTTTTTTCGTTAACATTTGTTGATAAATATAAGCAATTGCAGCTACTTCGAGCGGTACAGTTCAAACAACAGACTTCTCGTAGTACTGCGAATTTCCTTGTGTTAATATAAATTGCTCCGGCTTGGCCATTCGAATTTGAGTCTGCACGGCATGAGGAATAACGACTATTTTCGATAATGATTTGTACGTTTCCTACTATATTTAAAGCTCCTCCGATATCTGATGTTAATTTTTGAAAATTACCGTTTCTAATGAATACTGAACCACTGACTGGGTTCAAATAATGCCTTTCATTCGATTCTATAGTAAGACATGTCTCTGGCGCTGAGGATGCAGTAGTAAGGAAAAGAGAAATCATAAATTTATTTGCAAAAAATAGTTTTATAGCTCGAGTGCATAATAATGTTCTAACTAATGATTTTAGTAAAAGTTTTTCATTTGATCTTGACTTATTTGGGCTTTTCGATATAATTTCAAATCGATATATCTTTTTTATGCAATGGGATCACCAAATAACGAAGTTGCTCATTGAAGCAAAGTAATGCAAGCAAGAATTGATGTTATTTTCTCCTTTTTTGAATGAAATATAATGTTTTGAAGAATTAAATTATGCTATTTTATATCCATTTGTTGGGGCTAATATAATTAAATACTTATTTTTGCATTAATCTAGTAAAATTAACTGTACGTTTAAAAAAATAAACTATTCAAATCCTGGATGAGTTTGCTTGACTCGTCATGGTTCACAGACAGACCAATTCATCCAGATAAGCAGCCCAAAAAGATTCCTATGACGGAATGGGAATACCAAGAAAAACACGGCCTTGATAGCCAAAAGGATATTGATTAGTGATTTTTCTGATCCATCAACTTTCTCATTTTCAAGTGATCAATCGATGGACTCGGATGGGCCAGCACCACCAAAGAAGGAAAGACCGCCATTAAATACTTCAGACCCAGAAAAAATTGGAGAAGCACTAAAAACAGATTTAGATTTTATATCAACATCGCATAATTTAAGCACACAACGTAGAGAAGCTGCAGATAGAGAGATACAAGATACAATATCATCAGCAAAATATACATATTTTAACGATTTAGAAGCTGAAGCGCAATTTAGCGATCTGTCCTTTTCAGATGACTTCGAATCATCTTCAAAATCTAAAACAAATAAATACGGAATATCAGATGCACTCGAATCCGAACTTATGACCTGTGGAGTACAAAAAGTTGGAAAAGGAGATTCGTCATGCATCGTAAGAAAATCACAGTCAGCTAAAATCGATTCATCTAGCAAAAATTACGACTTTGATAATTCATCTTCGAAAATCTCAAAAATTTCGACACTGAAAACAACAGATAAATCAACAAAGACAGATAAAAATACAGATACTATATCAACAATGGCCGATATTTCATCATTCCATGATACAATGACATCAGATTTTCAAATTAGAATCAACACAAGGAAAAAACAAAAACAGATTACAGATAAAATTAGCCCTAATAAAAGGAAATCGTTACTATTACAGATACTCTTCAATCAACCATAGAAAAAGCAAAAAGTAATAAAGATACAAAAGAATTTACTGATTTTAGTAGTGACACCGATCTTCTTGCCACAAATCGAACATCTACATTAGGTACAACTGATCTCCAAACGAATACTCAAAACAATGGGTGATTCTCTCATGAAAAGCAACACAATTACAAAGAAAACAACAATTTCATGCAAAACAGACACATCAACAATTAAACCTGATCCAAATGCAAGTAGTTTATATGGAGAAATTAATAGTAGTCTTGAAATTTCGGATCAAAACAACAAACTTGCGAAAGAAAATATATAAGAAAACAACTCGAAGAGAGAAAACAGTCCATACAAGAAGTATGAAAAAAAGAAACCAATTCCAGATCAAATCCCAGAATTCATGAAAGATGAAAGAGAAGAGAACTTATTGAGCGCGAAAAGAAGAATCACTTCAACGACAAAAAGAAAGTTTGAGACGAAGTGAAGATATTTCGAAACAATTAGAAGAATCAGTCAGAAAACACGAAGATGACAGATGAAAGACGTAAAGCATTAGAATACAAACCAAAGCCATTAGAAGACAAATCACCACGATTCCTAAAGAAGACAGAACATTCATTAAAGTCAAAGCGATTGGAAGAAGAAGAGAAAAAGCTAGCATCTAAACAAAGTTCTAAGAAGAAATATGAATTAATACCAGATGAATCTGATTTAATCAAAAGAAAGAAAACTCAAGAAGTTAATAGGAGAACAAAAATTAGAAGAAATCGTGTTTGAAAAAGTCCCTCCTCCACTCCAAAAGAGAAGCATCGTAAAAGAGTTGTTATTGACGAAGATGATGTTGATCCAAGGAGGTTAAATATGAGTGAAAAAGATAAGAAGGCATTCTATGATCCAGCAACAACAAAAGCAGCACAATTACGTAATCAAATGATCAGACAAAAGATTGTTCAACAAGCAGAAGCAGACAGAGCTAAACGAGAAGAAGATGAACGACTTAGGAAGGAAATCAAAGTTGCTGCAAGGATCGAACCAGATTTGCGGAAATTACGAGAACAAAGTCAAGTTAAAACGAAAGATATTAAAGAACGTAGGAAAGAAGAAGAGGAAAAAAGTAAACAAGTTTCTAAGGAAACTCGAAAAATGCTTAAACGAGTTGAAAAGAATCCTTCATTGTTTAACAGAGAAGGACAAGAACTAACAAGACAAGAAGCGCGTCATCGAGCGAAAGTCAGCAGTGTTGTTAAGACTCAAGAACAAATGCATTGGGATACAGTCCGAGCTCGAAGAGAAGCTAAAAATGAAGAACTGAGAAAGATGTGGAGCGGAAAAATGTAATATTTTTATGTGTTTATTAAATAAAAAGATATTTGTTTATTTATGTTAAGTATGAAATGTATACACATTCTCTATATTTTGAAGGTAACTTTTACCTCAACAAATAAAAATTATTTCTCTGAAAAATACAGAGAGAAATTTAAATGCGGAACTTTGATATTTTTCCCCACACATTAGTATTTTCACTCTTTGCATATGAACTCTATATTGCATTCTGGCTTAAGAGTGCACTAGGAGGATTACGGCTTTTTAATCCTCCTTTTTTTCTAAAAATTCTTCTACTTTTTAGTACTTTCGAGCTCTAAAAAGTAGAGCTTAAATGCGTCTGCAATTAGAGCGCATTCATATCATATACCTCATTCTCCTTGAAATAAAACATAATTCAATATTTTTATTAATTCTTTTTAATTTTCCTGAGAAGTACCTTAATATGTTATACCAATCTAATGTAAATTCATATTTAACATCAAATTAGGCTTGAGAGTTTCATCAAATTAATTTTATTTTTTTTACTAAAGCAATACAAAGAGAAGTAATGAAATGATATGAATAATGATAAACAATTTCATATTTTGTGATAATATTCTTCTTTATCTCTAAATCTAAAATAGGAAACTCTGCTTCACACAGATATGATGAAAAGTGTGAAAGATTATGAATAGAAGATATATTTTTAACATTATTTGTTGTAACTAATTGATATGTTTTATCTATTATTCTGTCACAGAAAGAATCTTTAACTGTAATTGAACCATCATTATTTTGATAAAATTCTTTTCCTGATCTTGTGTTTCCAAGAAATGAACAGTTTTCAATAAGAACAGTTGATCCACATGCACAGAATGTTCCATATGTAGATTCTTTGTGTTTATTATTCAAAACATTACAAAAATTAAAATTATAGTTACCCCAACTTAATGATAAAATTCTATAATTTGATGTTGTGTTACAAAATGATGAATATGTTACATTACTTAGACTTGTTGGAACAGTTAGAAGTATTCCTGAGTCCCAGGCTGCTTCACAGAAACTTGTGTTGATTGATTTAACTCCAATATTTCCATACCAAAGATGATTTGTAAAAGATTTTTCTAATTTTCCGCATAAATAAAAAGAACTTTCATAAAGATAATTTTTATTATTTGATTTATTAACTAATTCAACATATGAATGATGCCCATATGAGTTTGTTTTTGATTTGTAGCCACATGTTCGGTATTGGACAATGGAACTATTACAAATAAAGTATATAGATCCACCATTTGTATTACTGCTGCAGTTAGTAAATGAACAATACGAGTTAAGAAATTTATTGTTTGATTTTTCAAAAGAAATGGCACTCTTAGTTGTAATGGTGATGAATATACAGTTATATAAGAAGCATTCATTATTTGTTGATTTCGCGGTAACATTTATACCTTGAATTGGTTCTGAATTAGGTGATGTATTGTAAAATAACTTCCAAACATCATCAGGTGATTGATCAAAGTGTAAATTATTCATAGTTGATGTGTGTTTTGAGACTGTTATCTGAAAATCGTGATTGAATTTCATTGTTTTCATCAAAAAAATGAATCGGCATTATTTGACATTTCAATGATGTAAATGTCAAATAATGCCGATTCATTTGAATCTTATATTCAAGTTATGAAATTGCGATTCTTTTAGCTGTCATCAGCATTTTAACAGCTAGTGCATGGAAACAATGATGTAAATCATTCTAATCTTATATAAAAACATCGATTTTGCTGATTAAATTTTTGGATTTCGTAATAAAATGATCAATATTGTAAATAATTAAAGCTATTGTACTTACACATGATTTGTATATTATAAAATGTATGAAATATCGACTTAATTCGCTTGAAAATTTGAAATAGGGAGAATCTTTATATAAAACGCCTAATATCTAACAATTATTACATTAAATGAATACTTAAATTTGAGTAATCGATGATTTATATGAATTCTCTGGTCTGAATAAAGAATATCGAAAATTAGTTTGATTTTGGGGTTGTTTTGATAGTATTGTCAAATGTAATGATGTAAAAACATGAATTTATTAGTAAATACATGCTCGTGTTTGAGTAAAAATAGATATTTGTTGTTGTGAAATAAGTATTTGATTTCTTGTAAATCTTGAATGAAAACAATAAGTTCGTATCAATGGGAAAATCGAATATGTAGCTATTTAATTTGTATCAAAAGAATTTTTTAATGAGAATTTAAATTTCGAAGAAATTTGTTATGTATCGTTGAGTTTTGTAATTAAAACTGATATGTTAATGATGTGATTTGCTTTTTTAAAACATTTATTAGTCTTGATGAAATAATTTTTCTTTTAGTTAAACATTTCTTCTGAGTTTGCTAATAAAGACGGAGTCCTTTGTGAATGTGACATAGGCGCCCGAGAACCGTATGCACAAAAACTCTTATTGGGTGTCTTGTCTTTAGATATTCTTTCAAAAATATGCCAAATTTGATTGATGATTTCTAAAAAAGTAATCTAATCATCTGATGCCATTAATTGTATTTAGAAAAAAAATTCGTTCTTTTAATTTTTTAAGAGTATCACAGCAGATGATTAACTTTCCTTGATTTACGATACAACTAATTCACCAAATGCAGAAGTGCAATCGAATACAAACAATCGAATCTCCTAATTGATGAATCAAATAGTCCATTTTTCATTGAATTATTTAATCAAATCGTCTCTAATCATAGCAATCCTCCAAAATCAATCAGTAGTACACATGTTATCTTTGATCAATTCTTACGTTATAAAGAGAAGAGCACATTTATATGATCTCAAGTATATTTTTGATTTTTTTTACAAATCTTGTCAATAAGACATTTGAAGTTGTTACCGATACAGTTACATAATTTTGAGATACAAATTCACCGCGCAATATTATTTTATTAAACTAAAACAGAGATAATTTTCTAAAAATTTAAATCATACATTGATCAGTACCTTGTAGAAGATACACATATTGATTTCAAATTCGTATGCATTGAAATGTTCGACGACATTTACACTGTTCGTTTTGAACCTATAATTATTCCATTTATACCCAGAGTTTCCTTACTTTTACCACTCCCCATGTAATTTCTGGGGAAAACGATAATTCATTTTTTTTATGGATGAATAGATCGTTTTCCTAGAAAGGACCTCATATCTCTGGCTAAAAAGAGTGTCAGATCCTAAATAGATTATTGATCTAGTGTACAAATCCAATAAAAAGCCTATTTTTTTGGCTTTTTTGGTGCTCATTTTTTCGAAGATCTACATGAATATGGGGAAACCATCGGATTTTTTTTGGTTAACCCACATCTTCATGTAGTCTGGACTATCTTTCCTCGAAGGACCTCTTTACGGGTGTAAAAACTCATAAAGTTCTCAAAAGATTCATTCTCGATCTCCATGCTGAAAGAATTTACAATAAAAAAGAGATCTACGCATCAAACTACAGCCATAAATGAACTGAACCCCTAAAGCTTAGCTCTTAGTTTATCAAAAACGTCGAAATCCTTCTCATTGCAATCAAATTTTCTCAATAACTCATAAGAAAAATCGAATTTTGATTAAGCCGATGTTATAGGTATCACAAATACTACAAACTTGAGCAATATCGAAATTGCCAGCAAAAGTTTGAAATTGCATTGCTCATATTTGTTTTGTAA